CCTGCGATCCGGTTGGTCGCCAAACCCGGAAGTAAGTAACTTCCGGGAACGGCGAAGGCCCCCCCCCGCTCGCGCCCGCTCCTTACCCGGTTTTGACGAGGTTGCGCTTCCACTCATGCGCAGGACGCATACAGCGCCTGCGCAATCCTCCAGGAGCAGCTGGAGCATCGCACAGACGCTAGTATGCATGCGTGCGCCGCGCGCGTGCACGAGGACGCCACCGGTCCCGTTCCAACCGAACCGATTGGAACAGGGCGAGAAACCCACCCCTGGTTAGTTTCCACCCATTGCTTCTTGCCCTGCCTTCAGATGCTTTGAAGAATAGCTTGACTCACTTAACTCGCTTAACAAGAGAAATGCTGGAGTCAATTGTGGTCATAAATCGAGGATTACCGTAAAACATTTTTGAGAATTTGATAGGTTGAAGACCATTATGGAACTCTGACTCATCCCTGCAAAGATAATGTCTTATCGTGAGTATTGAAACATTACATGGCATTCTCTGATAACTTTTGGTAATACCTTTGAAGAGGAAACAATAAGCGTCTTGTCCTGGCTAATGGCCACATCCGTCACCCAATCAGTGTGACCCTGCAGAAACATAATTTATCAGCCGTAAGACATAAAGCACCTTCTTAGCTAGATTTCTAGCTAGGTTCCTAAGGCGACCGAGAAAAAAGTACCGTAATATTCAATTTAATTTGGAGGAGCAGGTTGAAGATTAAACCTGGTAGGTTTCATTTCTGTTTCATTCCACTGCAGGTAGTGCTTGACTTACAACCGTTCGTTACAAAGGCAGCAAAAAAAAAAGACTTATAACCGTTTTTCACACTTATAACTGTTGCAGTATCCCCATGGACAGGTGATTTACATTCGGAAGCTTGATAACTGGTTCATATTTTTTTATATAAAACGTTTTATTTTTTCCTTTCCATATACATTCACAAATATACATTCTCGTAAATACTATGAACATTTAACTGTTGACTTCTAGCATTTATCACAATCTGCTTAAAGATATAAAAAGCACAACTGGGATTGCTTTTATGCATCTCCATCTTAATTTGCAACAACCTTGCTCCTTCTTTCTTTCTTCTCGACCTTATTCTTTCCTCCTCCCTTTCCTCTTTTCTTCTTCCCCTCCCTCCTGGAAGATGATAGATGATTGATTGATTGATTGATTGATTGATTGATTGATTGATTGATAAATAGATGATTGATTGATAGATGACAGGTAGGTAGGTAGGTAGGTAGGTAGGTAGGTAGGTAGGTAGGTAGG